ACCTCATCTATCTATACCCATCAGTCAGCAAACTCTGTGAGGGTAGAGATTTGGGCTGTTTGGTTGCTGTAGGTCTCAGAACTTTGAAGATCACCTGGCATACAGGAAACACAAAGATACTGAGTTAAGTGAGTAAATATTCAAAAGGACACATACTTGCCTCTAACCCTCCTCAGATACTCCACTTGTTAAGTTCAGGCTGCAACGTTATAAACTCCCTGGAAGGGAGAAACTAGGAGCATTACTTCCAAGAGAATAATTTAGCAAATCGATCCATCAGGATTTCCCATAAGAGTAATCAGAGAAGAAATGTGGAATGCTGAACTTTGTTGATGCCCTGGATTCCAGGAAGATATAAAGAAAGAGTAAAGATAAATATAGGTCAAAGTCTGAGATGGCATTTTTGACAGAGTGGGAAAATGGCAGTGAGAGGAAGACAGCTATAAAAAAACAAGTGAGTTGGGGCCAGGCATGGTAGCTCATATCTATAATCCTCACTAGATAGGAAGCAAAGATAGGACAGCAGTTTGAGACCAGCACAATACAAAGTTGGTGAGACCCATCTTAAAAACAAGCCAGGCAAGATGGTCCATGCCTATAGTCTCACCTACTCAGGAGGTAGAAGTAGGAGAATCAAGAGTTTGCAGTCAACTGGGGCAAAAGTTCTGCTGGACCCCATGTGAAAAACAAACTAAAAACAAAAGGACTGGGGACAAGATTTAAGTGGTAGAGCACTTGCTAGGCAACTGTAAGGCCTTAGGTTCAATCCCAGTACTGACAAGAGAAAAAAAAGGAAGCAAGAAATATGAGTTTATGAAATTCTTTTTATTCAGTAGTCAGTGGCTGACAGAGTGAAAACCACCATGTGCAGGGTAAGCATAATTAGACCTTGGTCCTAGTTGAGCCCCAGTCATAATACAAGCCTAGCAACCTTGGCCAAATTGCATTACTTTTCTGGCTTAATTATTTCCTGATCTGCAGAATGGGATGCTGGGAACTGGATTGGAAAACTGTGACTATGAAACTTATGAGCTATCTTTCCCTTTCACCCTCCAAGGAAGAAATTTTTACAATTTAAATGCTGTATTTTTGGGAACCATGATGATTGAGAGGAAGAAACTGCCAGGGCACCTGGGCCCTGTAAATTTTGTTTCCCAGAAGAGTTCCAAAAGTTGGTGCAGCTAAGGGAGCTGATGTGCAAACCTGGAGACTAAGGGCCCTTTCCTGCAGACACCAGGATCCCTGGCTGCAATGGAAATTCATTTAGCTTTCCTCTCTACAGAGTCCTTGGACCAGCAAGAGGAAAGGTGGGGACACCTTGCCAAAGCCTCCACTTGCAGCCTAACCTGCTCACTTATTCAGAATACCCCGCCCCCCCCCAGCCCATGGCCCAAGGGGCAGCTGCCTGCTGCAGCCTCAGCACTGAGCGGCTAGGACTGTGCTACCCTGTGAGCCAGGCAGGCCATCTTCCCTTCTAGGGCTCCTGTTCTGCAGGATTGGGAACAATGAATATCAGCTCCTAGAGTCAAGTTCTCCAGGAAGGTCAAGTGCCAAAGTACAGCTGTGTCCAAAAGAGCCAACTCGGGAGCACATTAAAGAAAAATCTTGGGGCCGGGCTGTGGCTCAGTGCAGAGCACTTGCCTAACAGGTGTAAACACTTGCTTAACAGGAGCAAGGCCCTGGATTTTAAAAAAATAAATAAAGAGTGAAAATAGAAGGAAAAAAAAAAAGATCTCTGTAAGCACAAAGGACCTTAGTCTTTCTTTCATTTTAAGTATTAATGCTCTTTTACGAATTGTTGCACTGATAGGAACTGGCTGTTCATTAACAGGACAAGGTGAAAGGTTAGCTATGGTAACTTCTGAGCAAGATGCAGAGAAAGAGAAACTCTTCCAGTACTTGGGACGATATTTTTCCAGAAATGCTCTTGGTAACTATAGCCAATTATTGACACCCCATCTTCAATGATGAGAAGTGGATCTAGGGCTGGTGGATGGCTCAAGTGGTAAAGAGGCCCTGCTTGCTAGGCAGTGCTCTTACCGCTTGTGCCACTCCACCCTTTTTTGGCTTTTTTTTTTTTTTTTTTTTTCAAGCTTTTTTGGCTTTTTAAGACAGGTCTCACACACAGCCCAGGGTATCTTCAAACTCATGATTCTCCTGACTTAGCCTCCAGAGTACTGGGATTACAAGGAATAACCACCATGCCTGGTAAAAGAACTGATTTATATAAGTGGTCCCCAACTTCAAGATGTATTAGAATCATACAACGAGCTTTTAAATTTTTTTTTCATTGAATCTATAGCTTACTGCTAGCAATCCTATTAAATCAGCATGGAATGGGCACCAACCATTGATTATTTTTTCAAAAGTTCCTTTTGAGGGTTAGATGGTAAAACAACCTTTGAAAGATTGAGAATATCTACCCAAACCAATCATATAGTTTCTATTATCTTACAATTCTTTTCTTAATATACATACAAAAGAAATGTGGTATTATCATGTTCCACCAAAAGACACATAAAAGAATGTTCATAGCAGCACTACTCAAAACACCAAAAACTGAAAACCCAAATGTCCATGGATAAATAAACAGGTGCATGTGACAGAATGCACTGCAGCAGTGAGAGTGAATAAACTATACGTGCAACACAGAATAATCTCATAAACACAATGCTGCGACTAAAGAAGCCAGACACAAAAGACTTACACTGCATAATGCATTAATACAAAGTTCAAAACCAGGCAAAACTACTTTACTGTGACAAGTCAGGATAATTCTATGATAGTGGTATAGGTGTGGTGGTAAACACCTGTAATCCCAGCACTTAGGAAGGCTGAGGCAGGAAGAGAAACAATGCAGTTAGCAAGCAACATGTTGAAAAGACTCAAACAAAGATACAAAATAGCTAACATGTACATGAAAAATATTCAAAAGCCTTAATCATTAGGGAAAAGCATTAAACCACCACAAGACATCACTCACATCCTTAGGATGTCGATTACCAAGATAGGGAATACTAGTACACTGTGTGGGGAATGTGAATTAGTACAGCCATTAAAGAAAGTATGGAGGTTCCTTAAATTAAATTAGTACTACCACATGAATCCACAATCCTCTCCTAGCTACATAACCCAAAGAGATGAATCCCCACCTTGTAAAGATGTCTACACTCCACCTTCAAGCATCATGACAACAGCCAAGTATGGAAACAACCTACCTAAAGGTCTGTCACAGACAAATGGATAAGAAAACATAGCATACACACCCACGGGTTTATTAGCCTTAAAAAGGAAATCCTGCCACTTGCCACGATATGGATTGACCTAGACGGTGATCATGCTTAGTGCAGTAAGTCAGATACTATAAGAAAATATGCATAATATCATTTGTATTGTGGGAATACACACACACACACACACACCACACACACCACCAACACACAGTTACAGAGTAAACATGGAACAGGTGGAAACCAGAAGATGTATGTTAAGAATACAAAGTACCAGATAAGTGGATGAAACAACTAAGTGCCTAATGTGCAACAGGAGGACCACAAAATAATACTGTAGTAGTGATTTTGTTAAGTAATCTTCCAAATTCTTGTCAAAAAAAAAACCCCTATGAAAGATGTATTAAATTTCTTCATTACAGTAAGAATTCATTATATCATGTTGTAAAATCTCAAATATACACCAATAAAGTTTATTTAAAAAAAAAAAAAAGAAACTGGTCATCGTGGTATGTCTGAAATCCCAGGATATTCCAGAGGCAAGATCAGAAAGATTGTGGCTCAAGGTCAGCAAGGGCAAAAAGTTAGTGAGACCACCCCCCCTCAACAAATAAGTTCATGGTGGTATCCACACTAGCCATGGAGGAGGCATAGGTAGGAGGATCACCGTCCAAGGTAGTCCAGGACAAAAAACGAAGAACCCTATCTTAGAAAAAAAAGTTTAACACTTATGAATTAAGTATTTTGCTATTTCTAGTCCAAAAATCTGGGTTATTTCTCAGCGATGTGCAAGATTCTCTACCTCTCCCTATCTCTCCATTTGTTCACCTTCTCTACCTGCCAGGAATCAGTCACTTTGCCCCCAGGGGAGATTTCACCACCTGTGACTTTCTAACCACTCAAAAACCTCTAGTTACAAAGTTAGGAGTTACAGGACAATTACTGTTGCCAGCCACAGCAGTTACTAAATAAATGGTGATGCCAAGGTTCCTAAGACAACATTCAGTAGGGTCACACAGAATACATCCTTCCTCTGTGTATGCACAATGCCCTGGGTTCAACCCCCTTGTATCCTCCTCGTACAAAAGAAAAAAAAAGGCAGATATTACTTCCTGGGAGTTAAATGTGGCAACCATACCCACGAGTTAAGGATCAGATCTGCAGGGATGCAGGAATGGAACAGGCAGAGGTCAAGTGAAATGTGGAATACTGTCAGGTCTCAGGAGCCAAACAAAAACAATAAATAACTTTAGGGCCAGGACAGCGATGGGTGTTAAAGAGAAGCACGAGACTGAAGAGAAAGGAAAAGTTAGACTCTGGTATAATGGAAAATGCTATGGACTGGAAAGAGACCCTCTGTCACCAATCAACCTTGTCCAACCTTGTCACAATTACATTTCCACGTTAATAAAGGAAGGGGAGAGAAAGGATTTCGAGTTCTAACGGTGGCTCTACAAAGAGCTCCAACCAGACCATCTCCCTGCAGAAGGTTGCCAGCAGCTGCACTTTTGGGGATTATAGTCAGGCCAGGGCTTGGCCCCAAAGCATAGGCACCTGAGCAGCCACATCGGCAAACCCAGGGCCCGGGAGTATTTCTCCTGCTGCAGGAGACTGGTTTTCAAGTGTTAGGGGCCAGTCATGTCCTTCCCTCCCCACCCAGACGACCTGACTCCTACACGCGTCCCTTCCCGCAAAAAACTGGGTCCGTGGGACCTGTACGCCCTGCTCAGGGCCCTCAACAGCAGCCCAACAACAATGACAGGTGCTTACGCGGAGACCACCTTCCCGTTCAGGATTTCCGCCGGCGCCATGGCCTTTATTACTCTGCTGCCCACGACCGACACCGACAAAACCGAAGTTCCACTCCCTCTGCGGCCGCGCGTGCAGCCCAACACACGTGTTTAGCGGACTGCCCTGGGGAAAAACGTGCTACTACGCCTGCGCACTGCGGCTGAGACGGTGCGCGCGCGATCCGAAGGACGTTTCCCTCAGCTGACTTAGAGCGAGGGGTGAGGGATTGCCAGAGCAGAAGAGCAAGAAGACCAAGAAAAAAAAAAAAAAGGTGACTAGTTGGCGGAAATGATTGGCTGGTGGAAAAGGACCCGCCTTCTATTGCAGCCATCAGGGCGCGGAGTGGGGGGCGGAGCCGGGGCGAACCGCGCGGGGAAGGCTCTCGGGCGCGGAAGAAAGCCTTCCGCTTCCCTCGGGGTCTTTGGATGCACGTTTCTGACAGCGCAGGCTTTGTTTCGCGCGTTTTGGCCGCTCCTTCACGTGGAGCTGGAAGAAACGCTATGTTGACAGCCGATATATTTTGATAGCATGTGGGACGGCTTCTGAGTTTCTCTCACACCGGCGCCCGCCAGGACTGGGTCGGGGCCAGCGGTTCTAATTCTGAGTGGTCGGGTGTGGCTCCTGTAACTTCGCGGTGCTGGGGATCGAGACCCGGGGCCTCCTGCATGCTAAATATGGGTACTCCACTGCGCCTGTACGCCACTCTGTATTTTGCATCTGAAGTTTGTACACTTGAATACATTAATACATACAAAGGACATATTAATTAATCGTAAATAAGGATCTCTGAACACATACCCTCATATTGTGTTTTACCTGAACGAATGAAACTAGGAAATCGAACAAATTGCTATAAATTGCAGGGTAGTGAATCTTTTCATGTCTTACGTGACGAGACCGTTTTTTGACCGTCTCAGCTGTTTCGCCTGTTGAGAGAGATGCCAAGTCCCATTTTACAGATGGGAAATGGACCAAGGATAGCTTGTCAACGCCCAGGCTGGGAGAGGCCCCAAACCTGTATGCCTCATTTCTTAAATCGATTGCCTTTGCCATCCAACAGACTGGCTTGCAGCTGTTGATGACTGGGCGATTCAGTCACCTTGAGCAAATAACTGATGAACAGCCACTTGTGCCAACAACGGGGCTATGGATGCTAGAAGTACCCTGCTGGACTTCCTGTCCTCAGCTCATTCCCGGGGAGAGGACTATGATCATTCAAGAAGCGCAATGTTAGAGGGAAGACGGGCTGTTTGTATTTATTTATGTGTTTATTTACCAGAACTGGTGGTTGAACTCAGGGCTAGGG